ACCAAAAAATTAATGAATAAATAAAAATTAGAAAAAGATGTGGTGTATATATATACAACGGAACACTACTACTCAGCCATGAAAAAAGATTAAAAAATGCCATTTGCAACAACATGAATGGACCTGGAGATCGTCATAATAAGTGACGTAAGCCAGAAAGAGAAAGAAAAATACCATATAATATCGCTTATATGTGAAATCTAAAAAGATGACACAAATGAATTTATTTACAAAACAGAAACAGACTCATAGACATAGAAAACAAACTTATATTTACTAGGGGGGAAGTAGGGGCGAGGTGAGGGGATAAACTGGGAGTTCAGGATTTGTAGATAATGCACGACTATATATAAAATAGGTAAACAATGAGGTCCTACTGTATAGCACAGGGAACTATATTCAATATCTTGTAATAACCTATAATGAAAAAGAATACTATATATATATATATAATATATATATATATATATGACTGAAACAGTGTGCTGTGCACCAGAAATTAACACAACATTGTAAACTGACTATATTTCAATAAAACAATGAAAAATACCGCCTTAATCATAATGATATTAGTTTGCTCACATACAAGTTTTCTCCCTCTCATTCTTTATCTTATACCAAATCTACTACTTCTCTCATTGCTAATAGTATAACCAAATTCTCAAGAAGAAATATGTTACCGTAAAAATGATCAGAATAATTGTTGCTGCTTAAGTGAGCTGTGCTGTTTGCTTGATTCCAACTCTTTGCTAAAGAGAGATTTACTTCTCTTAATTATACTTAGGTATAAATTACCAAAATAACTCCTGCTTTATTGTTAAAACATAGGAAAAATATCCCTTAATTCTCAGTTTAATTCGAAGGCAAATGACCCTGGGGCATTGGGACCTGCAGTTTCGTCTTCTGGCCCTGAGGAAATATAACCCCATCATTGCAACTGAATTAAGCCCCACAGACACCACTGAACCAGTGATGGGCCTGGGAATGAAAAGAACTTAGCTGCTGCTTTCAGGATACTGACCATCTGGTAGAAAGTCACAGAGGAAGGCGTTCACCTAAACTAGCTGCTAAAATTTCCACCTGAGAGGTGTTTGTGGCAGAATGAATGAGCACCTCCTATGAATGGCTGCCATTCTTAAACTTAGGGATGGTTTCATTGAGAGAAGCAAGAAATACTAAACCCAGATTGAGCCAAAGGGAGATATACGGGAAGTTACGAAGCTGTCTTGTGGGCGAGCGTTCCCCCAGGTGTGTAGATTTCTGCCTCTCTCTGGGCTGTCTTTGCCTTTCTCTGGGTCCACTTCCATTTCTCTCTGGCTGGGTGGTGGAGGCCGGGCAGCATCTCTGACCCCTTACACTTTTAGCACAGCATCTTTAGCCTTCTTCTCTGAATACCAATTCATGTGCTTTTTGGGGCACGTGGCAGAATGTGGCTTCTCCCAGACTCCTGGCAAGCCCTCTCAGTTCCAGTACAATAGAGACAAGGTCTTCACATCAATCTCAATTCCAAATAGCTGAAACAGAGGTTTGGTGCAGCTGTTAGCAGCTCGCGGTGAGTTTCTCTTCCAGTCCACTCTGACCAGTGAGAGGCAGGTACCCATGGCTGCGGACCCCCCCCCCCCGAGGGTGGGGCTGGGTAACTACCTAACAGGGTGTCTCCTGAAGAAACACTACACAACTGGTGAGATGGAGATTCGGTCCTTCCCTGGCTCCTCAGGGAAATACATACCAATTCCAAACGTTGGAGTGTTGACCTCATTTTTCAAACTGATCTGGTTTAAAGTTTCCTGGAGGCATTTCTTCAGGGAGACGCTCCTCAATTCCTGGTAAGCTTTTTAGCTCTTTCTTTTTCCCTGCCTTCCTCCCCTCCTTTTTCCTTTCTTCTCTTACCCCTCACCTCCTCTCTTCCTCTTCTTCCGTCCCCTCCTCCTCTTCCCTTTTCTCTTCTTCTTCCTCCTCCTCTTCTTTCTTCTTCTTCTTTGAATAAGTGAGCGAGAGGATGCTGTTAATCACAGTGTAAGCTGTGTAGCAGGGGAGAAGGAGGAGGGAAAGAGAGAAGATAGTGGTGGTCATTTGATTGTTACTCTCTGCGTACTACTTTCAAGGAAAACCTTTGTCTAATTGGTAGATAATATTGTCCATTCCTTACATATCTTGTGATAAAACTGTGATACACAATATTTGTCTGATATTTCAGTTATTTCTGGAGTGCGTGGGCAAGAGTGGAAGGACCAAACTTGCAGTGTTCCCTGAGCCTCATGACCAGTGGACACGCATGCAAAAATGCACTCAAATGGGGAGTATAATAAGATTCATGCGAAAGGAATAAAATATAGAGATGATTATATGAAAAAAACACACAATAATATGCTAACTTAATGGTCTAGCTTGTGAATGCAGCTGAAGACAGCATCCTGGAGGAAGTGCTTGTTACAGTTCTCAGAACAAGGAGGAAGTCTCGATTTGGATGCAAATCGACCTGGATTCAAATATGAGCATCTTCACCTAACTAGTTCTGTGATGCTGGACCGGTTACTTAGCTCAGTGAGCCTCACTTCCTTTGTCAGAGAAATGAGGATAAAATATTGGTATCACAAGCCCACGATGAAGGTAGATGAAATGGTTTGTGTAAAACATCTGAAGAATGCCTGGTTCAGCTAGAGTTGGTTTCCTCCCTTCCTTCTTCCCTCCCTCCCTGCTTTCTTTCCTTCCTGGCTGAAGAAAGGGAAATACTAGGGAGAACATGGTTCTCAGAGAAGTGACCAATGAGCCCCCCTGGTGTGGTGATTCTGTTTTCGTTAAGAGCCTCCACGCTCCTCTCATATTTCAGGTCTCACATGAAGAAGACTGTCTCATGGGGCCTCTTCCATGTATTGGTGGCCTATTATTTAAGACCATCTTGAGCGTGTCCACATTCTGGGGTATTTTCCTATTCCCTATTCTTAAAGGAAATAATTTATGAAAACCCCCAGGAATGTTCTGGCACAGTGACTACTCGATGGAGCAAGCTGTATTATTTTATTCCCACAACAGTCCTTTACCATCACCTCAAGTGCAATGTCGTACTGCCTTTCCAGGTGCAGCCTGCTGCTTGGGTATCCAGTACGAAGTTTCCCATCCAAGACAGAGAAGGCCCTTGAACTCCATGCTACATAATAGAGGGGGAAACGTTAACAGAGCAATGATATCAGCTCACACAAATGATTTCTATTATCTTTTAAGCCTATTCTTGGAAGCATGGATTTACAATGATTCTACAGATGTGTCTCAAACTTGGAATGAATAGGTGGTAAGTGACATTAAGTAAATTTACAGTTTCCTTAAAATGCTAAGAAAGGACCAAATTGGAGACACACACACTCATGGCCACCTGGTGGCCGCAGTGGTGGCAGCCTGGTGACTCAGAGACCCACCCGCCTGCGTGGTTCCCATGAGTCTGGCTCTATAGCTCTTCCATTTCTAGGGCTGCTGGACCAGATAAGAGAGATAGGGCTACTGGGATGACTTCAGATGCACATGACATTTTGATTTATTCTTTGAATTTTTAAAGTCCCTAGGTCATCACTTTCTAATCTGGCAAGAGGTATTGGAGAAGGGGGACAATAGAAAGAAAATCTTTAGAAAATTGTAACGTGCAACAGAAAAAATATCCTCTGTGAATGAAATAAGACCTTTGGGAAATGTCTTGGAACATTATTTAATGAGGATTATTCCAAATAGAGGCTTGGATTTTATTTTGTATCAAATCAGTTTGTTTTAAACATCCCTCTGTCTTGAGAATTATGGTTGGTGCCCTGTGCTGCTGAAGTTTAATTTTTGATACA